AGACAGATAGACAGATAGACAGATAGACAGATAGACAGATAGACAGACAGACAGACAGACAACCGGCCAGCCAGGCAGGCAGGCAGACAGACAGACAGAGAGACTGAAAGACAGAGAGACACAGAGATAGAGAGATAGAAAGATAGAGAAAGAGGTAAAGATATAGATATGGATATGATAGAATGATAGATATGTAGATCAATCGATAGACAAAAACATGGCCCAGCCAAGGCCTTGCTGAGCTTGCAGCTCTACCACACGCAGGCGTTGCTTCATGTTGCTTCTGTTTCCGTACAATCACGCTTGTTGTTCTTAAAAGAACTTGCGTCAGCGCTGGCACGTGCCCTATGACAACGTGTCATAGCGGCCAACTCCCTGGCAAGCGTCTGGGGTTCACGTCCCAAGATGCAAGAGCTTTCGTGGGAAAGATGCCAGGCGGAGCAGTCCAGCAACTCCCCCAAAGCCTTAGGAAGGTCAAGGCCCAAGGTATAAGGCTGTCTGGATGGACAGCCACTTGCCATTTCTTTGTGGCGTTTAACTCTGGAACAAGTAGGCTGACTCAACTGTCACCTCACTGACAACATATCCTTTCTCATTGTCATAGCTGAAATGCCAAACCAACCAAGATACGTCAATCCTTCAGGAGGGCCAGGGTGCATCTCGATCACAAATGAGTTTTTCTGCATCAAAGGAATCCAAGCCAGCGTAGCGCCAAAAACTGCCAACATCACCTGAATGATGGTTCAAAGGCGCATACTCAACAGCTGATTTCGGTCGGCCAACCCATATTTGGAGCGCAAAGCATCGCAGATGCGTTCTGTCGTTCAATGTATCACTCTGATGAAAGTTGAACCACGGGGCGCAGTCAGACAGTCAAATGATGTTGTAGCAAAGGGAAAGCAGAATCGCACGGTCACAAATGTACAAAACTTCAAGGCAACACACTTAGCGATTCAATTTTTGTATCAAGCTGCAAAACAGCATTACCCGTGGGAAAGATCTTAGTCGACCAGACCATTTGCCGCAAAATGTTTGAAAATTGAAACCTGAAGTAACACTTGGCCCTAACACCAGCCTCCGTCTCAAGTACGTTCTTGATTTGGTGCATCAACGGCAGTTCGTGAAGCCTGTTCACATGTCCGACTGATGAGAAATTGCTTGACACGCACCCTCAGTACCAGAGGAATGGAAAATCATGCGCGATTGATCCAGGAAAGCAGCAGTGCCCTGCGTTTCAAACTCAAAAGCAGGTCTGGAATTGCAGCCTCGAACGCATCAAGGAAACGCCTTCAACCTTGTCAATTGCCGAAGCCAAGCTATCCATATTACTCACCCTGCGCTTGCACGTGGCCACGTCCTCAAGGGTGGGGAGCTATCAAACTTATCAAACCACAGTGACAACTTACAGTAATCGTTCACCTTCATGCTGCTTGGCAAGTGCTTGCTGCAACTGCCCCAAACAAGTTGATAATCTTGCCCTGGGTTGAGTGTAGGTTTCGGATTGAGCATCGAAGTCCCACTTGCAATTAAGTAACAAAGTTATCCAAAAGCTAGAGCTATGTGTAACGGAATGAAAAAGTAAATTTGGAGTGCTGCTTGCCCATTGAATATTCTTTGTTGCTCCATTTGTCTGTTTATAAATAGTGTCCTCATATATTGTTGTTAATGTCATTGTTATAAGACCTTCCAAGCACATGTTTGCCTCTCGGTTTTTGGTTTTTGTGGAAATGCACACAACCACTGGCAGAAGCCGCACTGGAGCGACTCTTCCGGCCACGTGGGCCCACAAAAATTGCGACCATGTCTTCACGCCAACGAAACCAATCTGAGAGCTCAAGGGGGAATTCGAGCCCCTTTCCAAATCTGCTTCCTGGCAAGAACTGAAAAGACCAAGCTTCTTGCGCGTAGGTCTCCATCACCTTCGTGGAAACCCATCTTCCACGCCACAGGAGCCAAGACTCCAACCCCACATCCAAGAAGCCGTGAGCCGTGCCTGCCAGGAGGGGTCTTTTGCCCGAGCGGGACATATGCCAGATCCCAGGCGGGCTGTAGAAACGCTCGAACTCGTGGACTTTGTTTTTTCAATGACCGTGTGGGCGTCCTGATCTGTAAAGCTCACGGCCATACCAGTCCAACAACCTCAGCGTCAGGCGTGGTGGTGATCAGGGTGTCCTCCAGCTCAATGCTCCGACACGCCACCATTGTCGAAAAAATCTGAGCGCAGGCCTCCCTACCCGCAACTCAAGACTCCTCTTCCAGCGGCCCACCTTGTCAGCTTGGTCACGCGGCACCAACTTCGGGCCATGGCTAACGGGGGCTAGTCGACGAACAACCAACACGCGGAGGCCAGCTGGGAGCAGTGAGTGGAGCTCCACCAGATCAGGAATGCCCAACAGCCAAGACCAGTAAATCGAGACTCGTCCAAATCAAGCTCACAGGACCGAGCGCAACCTTGGCCACCTCCACACAACCTCCAGCCCAAACGCTTGTCCAATCCAATCACACGTGGCAGCTCATCCCCAGCCAGAGACCAGTTGCGACTAGGAGACAAAGAGAGAAAAAACGCAAGATTCGCGCCTACAAATTTGATATAGTGATGGGTCCAGTATCCTGCAGTCATACTCGGGATATAGATCTTCCGGCATGCAGTTTAGCTATGCTGAGTACTCAGCACGTAAAGAAAAGAAACATGAGCGTTCCAGAATTCCTGCAGGTAATTTTCCGCGAGAAGCTGAAGAATCTCCGGCGTGTGAGACCGCAATTGAACTGGCTCCTTGCTGCAGCGGTCCACAAGCATAGCTCTGACTTTGCCCAGCTCCAAACGGGGTCTCCACAAGTAGCTGGGAAGGATGTGTTTTGCCACAGCATATCGTATGGCAGCAGAATCAACATAAGTAAAGTCGCCTCAAGCAGATGTCTCTTTCCGCTCGACTTCTTGAAGCTTCAGCACAACGAACAGTGAAAAAGGCGAGTCCAGAACATAAATTCTGAGTCCAGCGCCAGGCCCAGAAAATGGTACTTCTACATATCCCCAGACTGCACCCTTCCTGTAGCAGCGACAGCTGTGCTTGTTCGGGAGCAAAGTGCCTTGGACCGTTGAAGTGGATCAGAACAGTGTGCAAGACCGTGTTGTTTCCGTGTGCCTGATCCAGAAAGTGGCATCTTCAGGAAGCTGGCAAAGGCGCGGGAACTCCCAAGCGCTAGCAAAGGAAAAAAGACATTGACAAACCAAAAGTATCGCTGCAAACCTGTGGTGGGACTAGAATACTTGGCTTAGAAATGTTTGGAACAATATATTATATTATATCTATCAGAGAAACCCGCGGCCTCCCGAGCCCTTTCTGGGAATCTACAAGAGCTTGCGCGAAGCCTACTAGCACAAAACGGCAACATGTCTACAGTAGAGTCTATAACGCAGAGGCCAAAAGGTATGGCCAACAGGGGCCAACAGGTCCAAAAGAGAAACTTTTTTGACAGCACTTTAGTTGAGATTACATTCTCCACCTACCTAACACCATATTGGACCATATCTTCTAGAGTTCCCATCAATCCATCTGCAAATGAATCAATCGCCCCCTTCAAGCACATACAATCAGCCCTTGGTGCCTTTGTGGGAAACCACAAATATCATATCTTCCCATTCACTTGCCAGCAAGATGCGAATAGGCTGATCACTCAATAAAGAAAAGATGTCCTTTAGTAGAAAGTCCTCCAAGTCTGTAGCACGTCCTGGAACACAGCGCGCTTGCCACAGTCCCCCGTGGTTGTTCCGGACCCTGGTGGGCAGACGCTGCGCTCGGACCTGAGACAAACAACATTACATCCGAAGACATGTTCGGAGAATTAGTAGGCCAAAAATGCCGAAGACGCCAGAGACGAGGCGCAAGGAAATAGGCCAACGACAGAACGGTTGCCGAAAAGACTGACACCATGCTGCAAACGGAGCCTGGTTAACAAACACACGCCATTACCACCCCCATCCCAGCGCCCAAACCGCCGCCCCAAAAAGGAACGATGGGTAAAATGCACACGGCGTGTCTGCGCCATTGGGATTCGCTTCCCTGGATTTGTGCGCCCACAAGGGGCCGGAAGGAACAACCAAGTGATCTCTGGTACAATTGGTCTCTCTGTTTATCACAATGCAGAACACGCTCCTGGGGAAGGTGCCAACAACACCTGGGCGAGACTGACATTCCACATTCACTCTTGCAGGCAAAGGAAAGCTGCGCTATCAGACAGCTATGATTTTGACAAAGAGATGTCACAAGGAAATCAGAACACTGGGCAGCTGTCCTGCGTTGAACAAGTTAACCAAACAAACCCAACCGACAACCTACTCCTTCGGTTGCCAAATTTTTCTCAGTCCTGCCTCTGTTGTATTCCGGCGAAGACCACTTGGTGGCTTACCCATATGCATATGCTCACCAGCCGCTCGCCACAATGCAGCCAGCCTAAATGTAAAGCGCTGCTGCGGTCAACTGCTCCACTGTCTGGTTCATATGCATTAAGTCATATGCACGAAGTAAACAAAAGAGTTTGTTCGGTTTGCCTGCGTGAGCTTAAGGACCAGGTGGGAGTGGACCAAAGATAGATGGAAAACGTGAGGGAACCCAGTTCGCAGTGTGAAGGGGGATGCACGGTGGCCACTTGTTGGTTCTTGTATATAGGTTGGATGACTCGAGTTCAAGTGTGATCCGAATCTCTGTCGTCAACCGAAGTTTAGTTGTACTCGGGTACAAGAACCTGACAAAGTCCTCCGTGAGTCATCCCTTGCCACTACTTACTTAATGCCAAGTCACGGAGCTGATCCCAATGGAACGCATATGCCCAGACGAGATTTTTCGCCGAAAATGACTGCAAACACCAATGGAACGCTAGCTCTAAAAGAGTGTGGGCTTGATTGGCTTACATCCGCTTCCTGCGTGTCAGTCCCACTGGAACGCTGTAGAAGTTCTGCCACCAACTTG